GTCACAAGCTTATACGTACTGTTCCACACAAAGAGGTAACAAGCTGATACGTACTGTTCCACACAAATAAGTAACAAGCTTATACGAACTGTTCCACATAAATAGGTCACAACCGTATAAGTACTGTACCACACAAATAGGTCACAAGCTTATACGTACTGTTCCACACAAATAGGTCACAAGCTTATGCGTACTCTTCCAAACGAATAGATCACGATCTTATGCGTACTGTTCCACACAAATAGGTCACAAGCTTATACGTACTGTTCCACACAAATAGGTCACAATCTTATACGTACTGTTTCACACAAAGAGGTAACAAGCTTATACGAACTGTTCCTCACAAATAGGTCACAAGCTTATACGTACTCTTCCAAACGAATAGATCACAATCTTATGCGTACTGTTCCACACAAATAGGTCACAAGCTTATACGTACTCTTCCAAACGAATAGATCACAATCTTATGCGTACTGTGCCACACAAATAGGTCACAAGCTTATACGTACTGTTCCAAACTAATGGGTCATAATCTTATACGAACTGTTCCACACAAATAGGTAACAAGCTTATACATACTGTTCCACACAAATAGGTCACAACCTTATACGTACTGTTCCACACAAATAGGTAAAAAGCTTATACATACTGTTCCACACAAATACGTCACAATCTTAAACGTGCTGTTCCACACAAATAGGTCACAAGCTTATGCGTACTGTTCCACACAAATAGGTCACAATCTTATACGTACTGTTCCACACAAATAGGTAAAAAGCTTATACATACTGTTCCACACAAATACGTCACAATCTTAAACGTGCTGTTCCACACAAATAGGTCACAAGCTTATACGTACTGTTCCACAGAAATAGGTCACAAGCTTATACGTACTGTTCCACAGAAATAGGTCACAAGCTTATACGTACTGTTCCACACAAATAGGTCATAATCTTATACGAACTGTTCCACACAAATAGGTAACAAGCTTATACGTACTGTTCCACACAAATAGGTCATAAGCTTATACGTACTGTTCCACACAAATAGGTCATAAGCTTATACCAAGCATATACGAACTGTTCCACACAAATAGGACACAATCTTATCCGTGCTGTTCCACACAAATAGGTCACAAGCTTATACGAACTGTTCCACACAAATAGGTCACAAGCATGTACGAACTGTTCCACACAAATAGGACACAATCTTATCCGTGCTGTTCCACACAAATAGGTCACAAGCTTATACGTACTGTTCCACAGAAATAGGTCACAAGCTTATACGTACTGTTCCACAGAAATAGGTCACAAGCTTATACGTACTGTTCCACACAAATAGGTAACAAGCTTATACGTACTGTTCCACACAAATAGGTCACAATCTTATACGTACTATTCCACACAAATAGGTAACAAGGTTATACATACTGTTCCACACAAATAGGTCACAACCTTATACGTACTGTTCCACACAAATAGGTAAAAAGCTTATACATACTGTTCCACACAAATACGTCACAATCTTAAACGTGCTGTTCCACACAAATAGGTCACAAGCTTATGCGTACTGTTCCACACAAATAGGTCACAATCTTATACGTACTGTTTCACACAACGAGGTAACAAGCTTATACGAACTGTTCCTCACAAATAGGTCACAAGCTTATACGTACTCTTCCAAACGAATAGATCACAATCTTATGCGTACTGTGCCACACAAATAGGTCACAAGCTTATACGTACTGTTCCAAACTAATGGGTCACAATCTTATACGAACTGTTCCACACAAATAGGTAACAAGCTTATACATACTGTTCCACACAAATAGGACACAAGCTTATACGTACTGTTCCAAACTAATGGGTCATAATCTTATACGAACTGTTCCACACAAATAGGTCACAATCTTATACGTACTGTTCCACACAAATAGGTAACAAGCTTATACGTACTGTTCCACACAAATAGGTCATAAGCTTATACCAAGCATATACGAACTGTTCCACACAAATAGGACACAATCTTATCCGTGCTGTTCCACACAAATAGGTCACAAGCTTATGCGTACTGTTCCACACAAATAGGTCACAATCTTATACGTACTATTCCACACAAATAGGTAACAAGGTTATACATACTGTTCCACACAAATAGGTCACAAGCTTATACGTCCTGTTCCACCCAAATAGGTCACAATCTTATACGAACTGTTCCACACAAATAGGTCACAAGCATCTACGAACTGTTCCACACAAATAGGACACAATCTTATCCGTGCTGTTCCACACAAATAGGTCACAAGCTTATACGAACTGTTCCACACAAATAGGTCACAAGCATCTACGAACTGTTCCACACAAATAGGACACAATCTTATCCGTGCTGTTCCACACAAATAGGTCACAAGCTTATACGAACTGTTCCACACAAATAGGTCACAATCTTATACGTACTGTTTCACACAACGAGGTAACAAGCTTATACGAACTGTTCCTCACAAATAGGTCACAAGCTTATACGTACTCTTCCAAACGAATAGATCACAATCTTATGCGTACTGTGCCACACAAATAGGTCACAAGCTTATACGTACTGTTCCACACAAATAGGTCATAAGCTTATACGTACTGTTCCACACAAATAGGTCATAAGCTTATACCAAGCATATACGAACTGTTCCACACAAATAGGACACAATCTTATCCGTGCTGTTCCACACAAATAGGTCACAAGCTTATGCGTACTGTTCCACACAAATAGGTCACAATCTTATACGAACTGTTCCACACAAATAGGTAACAAGCTTATACATACTGTTCCACACAAATAGGTCACAAGCTTATACGTACTGTTCCAAACTAATGGGTCACAATCTTATACGAACTGTTCCACACAAATAGGTCACAAGCATATACGAACTGTTCCACACAAATAGGACACAATCTTATACGTGCTGTTCCACACAAATAGGTCACAAGCTTATACGTAATACTGTTCCACACAAATAGGTAAAAAGCTTATACATACTGTTCCACACAAATAGGTAACAAGCTTATACGTACTGTTCCAAACTAATGGGTCACAATCTTATACGAACTGCTCCACACAAATAGGTCACAAGCTTATACGTACTGTTCCAAACTAATGGGTCACAATCTTATACGAACTGCTCCACACAAATAGGTCACAAGCTTATACGTTCTGTTCCACACAAATAGGTAAAAAGCTTATACATACTGTTCCACACAAATACGTCACAATCTTATACGTGTTGTTCCACACAAATAGGTCACAAGCTTATACGTACTGTTCCACACAAATAGGTAACAAGCTTATACGTACTGTTCCACACAAATAGGTCACAAGCTTATACATACTGTTCCACACAAATAGGTCACAAGCTTATACGTACTTTTCCACACAAATAGGTCACAAGCTTATACGTACTTTTCCACACAAATAGGTCACAAGCTTACACATACTGTACCACACAAATAGGTAACAAGCTTATACGTACTGTTCTACACAAATAAGTAACAAGCTTATACGAACTGTTCCACATAAATAGGTAACAAGCTTATACGAACTGTTCTACACAAATAAGTAACAAGCTTATACGAACTGTTCCACATAAATAAGTAACAAGCTTATACGTACTGTACCACACAAATAGGTAACAAGCTTATACGTACTGTTCTACACAAATAAGTAACAAGCTTATACGAACTGTTCCACATAAATAGGTAACAAGCTTATACGAACTGTTCTACACAAATAAGTAACAAGCTTATACGAACTGTTCCACATAAATAAGTAACAAGCTTATACGTACTGTACCACACAAATAGGTAACAAGCTTATACGTACTGTTCTACACAAATAAGTAACAAGCTTATACGAACTGTTCCACATAAATAGGTAACAAGCTTATACGAACTGTTCTACACAAATAAGTAACAAGCTTATACGAACTGTTCCACATAAATAAGTAACAAGCTTATACGTACTGTTCCACATAAATAGGTAACAAGCTTATACGTACTGTTCTACACAAATAAGTAACAAGCTTATACGTACTGTTCCACACAAAGAGGTAACAAGCTTATACGAACTGTTCCCCATAAATAAGTAACAAGCTCATACGAACTGTTCCACATAAAAAAGTAACAAGCTTATACGTACTGTTCCTCATAAATAGGTCACAAGCTTACACATACTGTACCACACAAATAGGTCACAAGCTTATACGACCTGTTCCACACAAATAGGTCACACGCTTATACGTACTGTTCCTCATAAATAGGTCACAAGCTGATACGAACTGTTCCACATAAAAAAGTAACAAGCTTATACGAACTGTTCCACACAAATAGGTAACAAGCTTATACGTACTATTCCACTTAAATAGGTCACAACCGTATAAGTACTGTACCACACAAATAGGTCACAAGCTTATACGTACTGTTCCACACAAAGAGGTAACAAGCTTATACGTACTGTTCCTCATAAATAGGTCACAAGCTTATACGTACTCTTCCAAACGAATAGATCACGATCTTATACGTACTGTTCCACACAAATAGGTCACAATCTTACACATTCTGTTCCACACAAAGAGGTAACAAGCTTATACGTATTGTTCCACACAAATGCGTCACAAGCTTATACGTACTGTTCCACACAAAGAGGTAACAAGCTTATACGTATTGTTCCACACAAATGCGTCACAAGCTTATACGTACTGTTCCTCACAAATAGGTCATAAGCT